CCCCCCCCCCCCCCCCCCCCCTTCTATGCAACACTGGTGCTGCTGTAGATTGGACGCCACGTCACAGGGGTACGGTTGGGTTTGGTTGTCACTGACACTGAAATGCAAGGAGTGTTGGACAGAATAGATACCATGTATTAATACATTACAGAGAGAGAGATAAACATATATATATAGAGAGAGAGACTTTTGTCATGCTTTGTGATCTCCGCGTTGACACGATGGCCAGCTTCTTCGATAGCCCCCCTTGCATTGTTACAGATCCGTTGGTGTGTCCTGTGAAAAGGAACAGCAATCAGTCACTATTAATTGTTGCTTGTATGTGTTTTTTAAACTACTCCTCCCTGTGTTGTTTTGTCTAGGTATGCTATTTATGAGTGATATCATTTGAATATATGTACTCCCCCGTCAATGTCGTTGACAGCGCGGTTTTGTCGCAAACGTGCTGCTGCCGCCGCCGCCACTGCTGCTGCTGCTGCTGGGGCCACCGTGCTGTCGTTGTTGTTTCTGTACGTTGTCGCTGTTGTAGCCGGCAAACGAAAAGGGAAAGGCAAGGCCCGAGGGCAGGTGGGGAGAGGCGAAGAAGCAGCAGGGGTTTCCGCTTCCCCGGCGGAGGCGAACGGAATTGGGCCTGGAGACGGGGCGGGGGGCGGGGGAGGGGGGGGAGAGGGGGGTCCCGCGGAAGAACGCATCGACCCCAGCGGGAGAAAGAGAAAAAAACTCACGTTTGCTATGGAGGAGTACCGGTATGTTGTTGTTGTTGTTGTTGTTGTTGTCTTCGCATCAAGAACCGTTCCGCTCTCTACTTTGCACCTTTTATGTAACGTCGGGTTATTTGACATTCTGCTTAGTGCTGAGATGTAAGCCCGGCCGAATTCCTTGGCGCAGGCGCCAGAAAATGATTTCACCGTCGCACATGCATCTGTGCGTACAAATGTAAACTTGCCTTGTCTTTTTTTTATCTCACACGTGTGACCTGCCTTGTGCGTGACGTCAGGGTGGACAGCGTGAACTCGAGCCTGAGGGTATTGGAAGAGTCGTGTCTGGTTCCGTTCCTGCAGCAGCTTCTGGAGAACGACTCGCTCCTCGACGTCGACAGGCACGCCGCCCTCTACACCTCCGTCTTCAAGGTGACTGGCTTGGGTTGTTAGGACATATTTGGGTACCTTCCGAACGGTGGATACGGTGGGCACGCTGCCCGCTACACCTCCCGTCTTTTCAGGGCGACCGACTTGGCTTGGTAGGACGTATCAGGGTACCTTTCGAACGGTAGATAGGCACGCTGCGCTCTACCTCCCGTCTTTGAATTGACCGACTTTTAGGACATATTAGGGTACCTTCCGAACGGTAGATATGCACGCTGCCCTCTACACCTCCGTCTTCAAGGTGACCGACTTGACTTGTTAGGATATATTAGGGTACCTTCCGAACGGTAGATAGGCACGCTGCGCTCCACCTCCGTCTGAAAATTGACCGACTTGTTAGGACATATTAGGGTGCCAATTGAATGGTAGATAGGCATGCCGCGCTCGCACGTCCCGTCTTCAAGGTGACTGACTTGACTTGTTACCTCGAGGGTTCATGTTACTTCCGATAGCAGCCCACATGTCACCTGTTTAGACACATAAGAGAACGTTTCGAATTCCATGACAACAGCTACTTTGGGCATTGTGCCTTCCGACCCTCAACAACAGCCATATGCCACAGGTTAGGACGAAGCATAAGCTTTCGGTGAAGCCTCTCTTGGGTAGGGGATTCATAGCTGAATCGAAGCTGAGAAGAGGGGAAATCATTCGAAGCAGACCCGGAATTCGGACCCAAACAACAAGCATACGTTGACGGTACAGCTGCCGTCCCCGCTTTAAGGACACTGACCTCACGGATTTGCATAACATGAGTGCCCCCCCCCCCC